GTAGAGTGCACATATATAGCTGCTATATGTAAACAAGATGTGGCTTGTTTTTTTGAGTTAGTTTTTGACTCCTGTTGACTACTTGGGCTTGCCCCTGCAGTTTTCTTGGTAAAATTTGAGAAGAGTTTCGCCACTGCCTTCTGAGTGATTGTTAGAGGAGGCTCTGGGTAAAGCCTGTTTTAGTGATCCAAAAACAGAATTATAGAAATTGCATATTAATAAAAATGGCTTCTACTAATGTAAACTAGCTGACTATGTGTTGAAGGTGAGACTAGAATTCACAATCTTCCAGCATCTAGCCTTAACCACTACACAAATCTGGATCTCTTTCACTAAAAATCTGGCCAATAAAACTTTAAAAATTAAATCCCTTTTTAAGTGCTTTATTGATAACCTGAGTATTACCTTATGGTTTTGGATATTAATATATTCACTCAATGGTGGATTTTTTTTTGCTTTTTACAATAAACAATTATAGGTCCCCTAGTTAACTATCATCAAGATAGAAAAGTAGTGTAATTATTTGTTATCCACAATTTCTAATCCATAAATGATTTCTTCCTTCTGTTCCCTTTTGAATGTATTTTCCTTACAATTGTACTTTTGTCTTGTGCTATATTCATATTTCTGTATGGTATTTTATGTTTCAGTGTTTTAACACTGTTCTAAACCACTCACATCCATCGGGAGTCAAGTGGTATATAAATTTAATTATACATATATGTATATACATAATTTAGCTTTGCATATATCCATCTTTGCATTTCAGTAATAAATTAGAATCTATGTGCTCTAGATATGTTATGAAATGAAATTATGTGATAATGAGACAGTAAAATTGCTTTGGCAATTTTATAGCAACTGAAGTGGCAGGTTCCCTTGAGTTCTTTTATTCTGAGATTTTACATAATTTAAAGTTAAGAATGCTATTTAAAGGAAAGTGGAAAGACACAATGTTTCTACAAAGTAACCTTTCTTTGATTAAGCAGGATAGTAACGACGCAACCAGCTTGTAAAATGAAAAATAATTTTTGATAGTGACATCTACATCTCCCTAATGAAGTAAGAACAATTGTCAAGAAAGTGACAGTCGCCTAGGGGGTGGAGGGTGGGGTGAGAATCACAAGGCATTTTGTCATCTGACTGAATGGTTACATTCCCTGGGTTACAGTTAATTTTTATGTCAATTTGATTATTCAGTCTATCAGTACACTGTAGTCCCCAGCTAATTGAGAGACTTACAGTATGGTAGGTTTTATGTGATCTATCCTACTACCAAAAAAAACAAAAAAAACAAAACCCCAAACCCTGGAAAGCTGTGGAATGACTGCCATGAGGCTCTTACTGTAGTACTCCTGAACTTGCTGCTTAAACATTTCTCCTTATTTTGCCTAATTTTATGTTTGAGTTTATTTGGCTGACCTTTCTAATCAAACTCCCCCTCCCTTTCATTACCCATTAGTTATGGATAAAGGTAGGTGGTATTCCTACTCCACAATCTTTGCCTTTGGTTGTTTTTTTTTTTAACTTAACTTTAAACATTTAGAACTTTTTAATGTTTCAACTAATCTTTAGGGGTAAGATGATCTCAAATGGTCAAATCACTGAGCTTCCATTTATACAACAGATTTTGGAGCTGAATGATTTATGACTCTTAAGCTAATTAAGACTAGTTCTATGTGGTCGGGAGAAAGTGATAAATAAGAGAATAATAACTAAAAAAAGTTGGAATAGGGGGAATCTTGGGCTAAGGTGATAGATTGCTCCTTTAATGACTGAGGACATTAGGCACAGTTTTATTGTCCATGGGTCTTTTATGGATAGTTTAGTGACTACCTCATTTAGTGACCGTTCACCATTATGATGTTGATGAAAAGATAACTTTGCAACCAATTCTCATATTTATGATCTTCACCTCTGTAAAGCAAAGGAAAGCTGAAGTGGAATAATCACAATTTCACTTAGCAATCACTTTGTTTAATGAGAAAATCTCTGTTCCTAGTTATGATTGTTAGAAGACTTCCAAAGTCTCTTACAACTCTGAAATTCTGTTATTCTCTTATTTTCAATTGGTTTACACTTCTTTCTTTCTTTCTTTCTTTCTTTCTTTCTTTCTTTCTTTCTTTC